TCATGGTACAAGTCTGAAATGAGGAGGAAAAAACTCCTGGTTTTGGCTCCAATTGGGCTACAGTTGACCCTGGTTGCTCTGACCAGAGGTTGATAAGATGGGGAGACCCAAATCAAATCCGCCTAACTACTGCAGATAACAGATGTGTGTCCATGGAGCCAAGTGCTGTTACTCTTGTAAAGCAGTAAAGACCATTATAAGGTCTTTGTAAATGATTTTTTTTTTTCAGAAATCCCTTCTGAAGCCAAATGTAGTGGTGCACACCTATAATCCCAGTGGCTTAGAAGGCTGAGGCAGGAGGATCATGAATTCAAAGCCAGCCTCAGCAACTTAGGTGCTAAGCAACTCAGTGAGATCCTGTCAATAAAAACAAAAAAGGGCTGGGGAAGTGGTGCAGTGGTTGAGTGCCCCCGAGTTCAATCACTGGTACCAAAAAAAACAAAAAATCCCTTCTAAATGCTTTACTTCAATGGTYCAGCCTCAGGGGAATAGGGCAGGGACCAGGTTTTAGTGGAGACTCACTACAGCACAGTTCTTGCCATCCATTCCAAAAGCCCTTTCCTGGCACAGTCCTCTTTGAATCAAGTCCCAAAGGACTGGGACCATATTAAAACCTTTAACATGAGAAGAATTACAGCAAGGTGACAATGCAATTAACCTGAGTAATCTTTCAAAACTCACTGATAATATATAATTTTTGCTACTTTAGACTCCATTCATGATGTGATTTTTTTTAATTAGTAAAGAAGGAGGTTTTCAGATCTGTTCAAACTAAAAGAATAAAGGCATGTTTGCATAAAAAGAAAGAATTGGTCAATGCTTTTCATTGTTTTTCGTATTCTTACAACACTTTTTCAAATGGCTGCTCTGCAGCTTTATTCTGCTCACTTCTCAGACTCTGCAGAAAAGTCTGTGATTATTATTTAAGGATCCTGGTGATTCCCTTCACTGCATAGGGGGAAAAAAAGACAAAATCAGGGCTATTATCCTGTGTTTATAACAAGTCTATCACCATAGTAACACCTGCGATGTCACAAACAGTACATCAAGGACCAAAGGCTGTCTCTGAGGGGGAAGGGCAATTAGCCTCAAAGATGGACACACACATGTGAGGTCAAAGAAGGGTCAATGCTGTGATAATCACCAAGACACAGGGTGCTCCCCTTCTCCAGAGGAAAGAGGGTGGGCCAGAAGAACAGTTCCCCAGGCCCAGAAGCAAGCTACACCCACACTTCTGTACACAGCTGTGCAAAAGGAGTGGAAATCCAAGCAAATGTGGTATCACTGTGTTCCCAATCATGAGTATTCCACTGGGCTCTCTGGCTGCCAAGACATGGAGGGGTTCCAGTGGTAAGCCTGCCCAAGCGCATGAAACACACTCTACCAAGGGAACCAGTGCCTGGCTAGATGGAGCCCTCTGGTACCCTGGAAGAGAAGTAATTCCCTCATGGTGGCAAGCATTTAAAAACCCAAGCTAGGTTCTATCCCCACCAGGCCATCTCGTTCAAAGACCCACAGATTCTTAGGGTTAAAGAAGTCTAGGTTCTCAGGGTAAGATCAACTCTCCCAAAAGACAGGCACTTTTAAAAAATACCCTTTTGCAGGAAGAAGCTGTATATCCTGCCACTGGAGGATATGGAAGTAGAATATTAATAAGCATTATTATTCTGATAGTCTAGGGAAACTTTATAAAAGTATTCTGAAAATGCAACCTTATATTAAAAAAAAAAATAATGGAATCCATAGCAGCGGGGCACCCCTGTAATCTCAGCTACTCAGAAGGCTGAGGCAGGAGGTTTGCAAGTTCCAAACTAGTCTCAGCCTCGAACTTAGTAATCTTAGCTCAAGTGTATAGAAGTCACCTTACCTTGAGGAAGCTACTTAACCTATCTGAGTGTCAGTTCTATTTAATGATATCTAACATGCAATTTCCTGGAGTTATTGTAAAGACTGAACTGAATAAAGAATGTAAATGAGTTTCATAAACTCTAAAGGATTTAACATAAATGTAAAGTATTATTAGCTTACAGTACAAAAGGAATCATTTGAAACATAACATAGGAATCCAAAGCATACATACAATCCTCATCTTCTCTATCCTGAGAGATGGACACTAGCATGACACAGTCATTGCTAAATTGTTCAGGGTCTGATTAGCAGAAGACCATTAGCTGCTGGCTATTGTACCCTTTATCAGTAACCTTCAGGAATGTCTTTGGTTAACATGACAGGGAGGGAGACCTCGACTCAATTACCTTGAATAACAACTCTGGTAAAAGTTTTAGTAAAGAAGAGTTGAAATAATCAACCAGGTGGAAGTTTCTGTATAATGTATGAACTTGAATGACTTAATTAAGAGCAATGGAATCCTTGCTTTATATCAAGAAAGCTGTGGTTATGCTCAGACAGGTTGGGGCTAATCCAGATAAAATACTCATATTCTCTCAGTGGACCACTTGTCTTACATACGTGCAGTAAGATTTGTATATCAGTCATTTATTCAACAAATATTGGTATGCTAGGGCTTACTGTATACCCTTAAGATCACTATTTTCCTGCCCTTTTTGCTGAACCCTCCTTAAAATATTACACAGCACACCTTGTCAAGCCCACAGCCAGGTTCTGAAACCCTATTCATCTTCTTGTTATCGTGAGACTTGGCTAATCTCACCCTAGCACAAGCTTCAGCAAACTATAGCCCCTGGGTCAAACCCAGCCCACTGTCCTTTTGGTAAATAAAATTTTAAGGGAACACAGCCATATGCACTGGTTTATATATTATCTATGGCCACCTTCCTGCTACAACAGTGGAGTCTAAAGTGATAGAGGCGGCATGGCCCACAAACCCTAAAGTACTATCTGACCCTTTACAGAAAATGTTTGGTGACCCCTGCCCTAGATGGCATGACTAAAAACATAATTCGTTTCTCTGGTAAGTTTCAGTTTAGAAACAAACACAGTAAGCTCCTAGAAAGCATAGAGCATTCCTGTTTCTTTGTCTTGTCTTGTAGAACCCTCAACCTTATAGAACAGAGTCAAGGTTAGAGCAGTTACAAAAAAAAATTAAACATGTCCTTCCCTACTTTCTGTTTTCCACAGATGAGTGCCTTGGCGTTCCATGGTAGACAGCATAAAACCACTGGTGTTCGGTTACTCTGGTCTCTAATTCCTCAGAGTTCCTATGTCTAAGACTTCCAAGGCTCAATTTTTGGCCTCTATCCCTTTGCATATTTATTTCCTGATCTGATGTGGAATTAGAGTTAAATAGGAGCTGTGTGCTTGAATTCCACGTGGCTGGCTCAGCAGGAAACTCCAGGGCAGGTTTTTTGGCATGCTGAATTCATGTTAGCCTCAGCTATGCTAATTTCTAAAGCTGTTTGCTTTGCGCAAATAAATCTTAGAGACGAATTTGCATTTGGATGCACACCTTTTTATGCACAAATTATGTGCATGATAACTCTAGGGCAGAATAAGGACTGAAAAAATAGAAAGGTATGGTATTTACATTTCTACAACAACTCCATGAGGTAAGACTGTGCCCCACCCACCCCTTTTATAGATGGGAAAACTGAAAAGAGGAAACCTTACTTAACTTGCCCACATTCACAAAGCAGGCTATTGACAAAGCCTAGAATGAAAATCAAACTTTCTGATTGGAAGCTCATAGTCTTGTCACTTAGTCACACTACTTTATTGATACACTCAACAACATCACCTCTCACCTAAGCCATGGAACATATATCCAAACATGAATGCTACAATTACAAAATAAGTTGCTCTCCCCCACCCCCAGTTGGCCTACGCAAAATATGACTTTGGTCCTTGGGAGAGAAATTAGGACCAAAAATCACAACCAACCCATCAAAGGAAATAGAAACACTAAGGCAACTTTATATGATATGCCAATTATATTAGTCATGAGATAAACACAATTATAAATGATTTTAACAAGTAAATGGATTTTAATGACATATCTAAGGACATCAGTATGAAAGGACACTTTTACTGCTAAAATGTAGTAGACCAACAAGAGAATGTGGCTCTAACCATGAAAGAAAATGAAAAATGTGAGCAACACTTAGAAAACAATGTAAATACATCCATAACATAAGCCTGGGAACTTAAATCTACCAATTTCCTGTTTATGGAAACATAACCAAACACCTARCTTCCCTAATAAAAAATACAAGCATTAGCTTTATTTTTATTACAATAAATGCTATTATTGTAATTCAGTATTTATCATTCTTCAATCTAATACACAGAAAAAAATAACTTGTGTCACAATTAAGCATACTAGCATAATTCCAACATTTTATAGCAAGCCAGATACAATATTATTTAACTTTTTTCTCTGTGTGAAACATATCAGTAGCCAAGCTTGCAATATCATAAAGCTCAGCTCATTGCCATCCAGATCTAATACACTGCCATCCAATTTTCTGGAAATATAAAAGAACTGATTACATTTTCATGCAAGTGAAATTCAGATCTCCATCTTTTTTAAGCTCTCAAAGACAGCTTTCCAGGAATTAGAAAGAACTCTGTGGAGACAGTGCATAATCTAGCTAGGTTCTTGAATGGATTTAGACGAAGGCATATTGAGGGACATGCCTGCCACATGTCCTTTTACAAAACTACCCCTTTCTTCAGAAACTCCAGAAAACCAGACTTTCCTTACGTACTGCCCAGTTCAAAATTGCTTTTTTTCTTGCTAATCAGTCATTGTATTTCTCTTATTTTAAAAAACATTTAAACTTTTTTTAAAAAAAATAAGTGAATTCAGAGAAGGAAAATAATTATTTTGTAGTTGGTAAAACCTAAGCAGTAGTAGGGGACTTTTCCTGATGTAGCAATAAAATACTTTAAATGAGACATGCACTAACATTTCCCATCTGCAAAGTTGCTAAAACAGTCTTCAAGTTCATTTGAGCACTTAAGAGTTATTTATACTACAGTTATGTGAATGGTTTATCATTRGAAACTCCAGTAATGCTTACCTGCTGGTGGCTTTATGAAAGGTGGAGGAATTAAAGGTACAATAATGGGCACATTGCCATGATCCTTTGACCCTGCAGGTGAGTCACTGACACTGAGTCCATTTCCAGTGGCAAGCCCTGAATAGCCTGTGCTTATATTGTATGGTGAAATAACACTGTCCTCGGGTAATTTTGGTTTTGGCAAAGAATTTTCTGTAAAAGAAAAAAACGATATTCAATATGACAAAAGAACTTATTCAGCAGACTTAAATTTTCCCTTATTTCCTCGAGTAAAATGGTCATGTAACAAAACAAGTTTTTCCTTGCAAACCTTTAAAGAATTTACCAGAACTCCACAGTCCATCCTGGAGCTTTTTAGTCTTGTTACCATAAATTTCCAATGGGCTCCTTTATAATTTGCTCCACTATGATAGCTAATATCCCAGTTGAATCATGGTGATGAATTTTAGCACTGTAAAATCCCATAGAAAATTGAGAGGCAATTAACCTTTTCCACATACAAAGTGATATATAGCAGGCAAGGCTCTCGGGCTACCAGAGGGAAAGCCTAAAGCAGCTTTGTGACTAGGTCCCACCCAACTGTACACTTAAGACTATAATATATAAACTTAAGACTATAATATAATCTACTGAACCAATGAGAAAGAAGCAGATGATTCAGATCAGCTATGGCACCAAGTATTGATGACGCTCCTCAAAAATCAACAAAAAAATGAAAATAAAGAAAACTTACGATGATATAAACTTTATTTATAAATACTTTATCCTTGTATTTGAATCATCGACAAAAAAAGCTTCAACCATGGAAAACAACGTTTTCCCTATAATAGCATATTCTGGCACTCTCTCTTTCCATATTCCCCAGGGGCAAAGATTATTACCTAGGCTAAGTATTATACGAGCTATTAGTCTATAGAATTTAAACTCATGACTTGCATTTTTCATTTACAGTGAAATTGATGACACTATCTGAGTAACATGATATGTACAATTTCATAGCAAGCTTAACATAAAATTTGTCACGTACATTCAATTCCACACACATGCCTGGAGGACAGCTCATTTACATTTTGTTGCTTAGCGTGTAAGAAGAAAAAAATACTATCTCAAAGACTGAAAAAAAGTGCTTGAGCAGGTAGTTCATGCCAACAGATTTTGAATACAACACAAGTACTGGGCAAATTGCCAGTGATAATGCACAATTAGTTTTACCCACATTTTATTAAAATTCCCCAAATTGGTTGCTTCTTCACGTGTTCTTCCTCTTATCTTTTATAAACAAACCCTTATTCCAAATTTAGGTTCATAAATTCTGTGTTCATACAAGCTTTCCCTTTAGATATCTGGCACTGCTGTCCACTGGTACAATCAATGTAACTTTGACTCTGCCAGTCCTCTTTAATTTCCACTCTTTGGCTGGGCTTCGATGAAAATTCTTACAGAACCTTATAGGATCTAATCCTCTACTCCCCTCTTACTCTTCTTCTCACCCTACTCAAGGGTGTGGGGGCAGAGGAAGACTGAAAACTTCAAGCACAAAATGAAAACAGAATTCCTACCCCAGAAAAAGGAAGGGGGTTTACGAAACGAACAGAATCTCTCTTAGAGTCTGAAAATGTAAACCTAACATTGCACATAGCAGGAAGTCCTAGTCCCTGACAATTGATGGCATATCAAAGGGATCAGGAAACTAGAAGTTAGCAAACATTGCCCCTTTCTATGAATTTGTGGGAAGGACCACAGCACTTAAAGTCCCGAGTCTTTGTCTAGTTCTTCCATTGCTGGAAGGAGATTAAATTGTGTCTATTTTTATTTTAGGTTGAGCTCTTATGTTCTGTGAAGTTCTGCTTATAGGAAAGCACTACTGGAGATGTATAGTTAAATCAACCATGGGCATAGTCAACAAAAGGAATCCCAAAGCAACTCAGTTCTGAAGAGTTGTGATAGTTAATCCTCTTTCACATGAACRAAGGGACATTAAATGTCATTACCTTTGAGAACAGAAATGTGCTGCCGGCTCTCCCCATCTGTAGGGTAACTCCTGAATTCAATATCTTCACCATCTTTTAATTCAACCTTATCATAGCCATACCAGCCAAGGAGTTCATTCATGGTGTTTTCTGCAAAGTTCTGAAAGAGAAGCATAGGCTACTACTTATTTCTATAATCAATAACTATTTGAAAAGAAGACATAAATTGAATTGTTTGCCTTGCCCCATTTAATGTCAGCCTTACCCTTCTTCCCCTAGAGTATTGTTCATTTTTTCAAATCACGTTCAAAAATTGTAATGCATTTAAATCACAAAATGACGCATCCAATTATGACAGGCCTTCAGACATTTGCAATTTAAAGATAATGAGAAAAAATGGTATTTGTCAGTTTTGCCTATGAATAGGAAGTCATATTTTACCATATTCTTCTGCAAAGTCTGTATCCCACACTAACGCAAAAATATTGTAAGGTAAAGCATAAGAAACAGCTAAGAAAAGATTTTGAAAATGAAAACAATTAATCAACCTTTTTGTGGTTCAGATTAATTTAAATTAGAATTGCTTTCTGATTCAGGTATTGTTTCTTAACATGACTCTTATCTCAGATAAAGCAAAATCTCAACAAAGAAATAATTTCTCAATTGTCWACCATTATCATACAGAAAACTGAATAGGTTACAAGGGCCTCCCTTTTTAAATTTTCCTCTTTGCAAGAGTATTTTTTTAAAATCAAGGCACAATTTGCTTTATAAATTGTATTGGTGGCAGATTCTTTCTCCATGAAATGAAAGGTCATTATGATTGTATTCTGATGAGTTACATAAAAGTACTAAATAACTTTAAGGTTACTAGCCAGACCAGGCTTTGGATAATGTATGAAGTCACTTTACAAACTATAAGTCAATATATAAGTGTAATTTATTGTTACTGTTATTAGAGATATCAAAATTTGAAAATAATGAGTATAGCTAGATGGATTTAATGAAGTGTTTATTTTTAATAACTCATCAATTGCTCGATCTGGAAATAAGATGTGAGACTATGCGTGTTAATGATCTTAGTGCTCATATATACCTTAATAGTCTATCTGGCAGGGCACCATGAGTCTCCGAGACTGAGTGAGGAAAACTATATATTCTAACCTTCTCTGTGGCTCACAGAATCTTTCACTATTCTCCTAGAAGCTGTCATTTCTGAATTACACTAGGATGTATAATTTATGTACTTGAAAYAAAGCACCAAGGCTAAGCTAGAKCGTACACAGCCTCAACGTGTGAGTTCCATGTTTTCTCAAATTTCAAGACTTTAGATTTCAGCAGGGGTTGCATAAAAAATAAAAGATAATACACTACTAACTCCATGAAAACAAACCTGACATTTCAAACCACCCACAGGATGCTACATTTTTTGCTTTCGTACCCACTTAAGCTCTGAACTCCAACTGGGTCAATCTGTGATGGTATAGTACACCAGCAATTTAAAAAAAAAAAAAAAATCTAGCCAGATTGATTCAATGTGACCATCCACAAGGCCAACAGTCAGCCATATCAAGCTTTAGTGAGGCATTTRTTCTCTCTGATGGCTGATCCTGTCCACATTAAATAGACATTCTTTTCATGAATGCACAAAGATGATATGATCGATATGAATAATAAGCTCAGCAACTTCAGGAATACCACTGAGGAGGACTGGGCTAAATGCTGCTGTACTCAATCAAAAGAGATCCTTTTAATGAGGCGTCACTCTCCCCTAACACCTAATTTCTTTCACTGAGGCCRAGTGCCTGACTCAAGAATGACAGTCCCTAAGCACACAAATCAAGGTCCTCCATCAGTGGTCTGGCAGCAGAAATCTCCAAGGATGAAACTTACCTTKCATGGAAAAACCAATTCTCAACAGCATTAAAAGCCAAGTTCAAGCCATCCTATTGGTCTGGATGCTATTTGTCCTGATCTCTAAGAAAACTGTGCCAATAAGTCAGAAAATCTTTGGCACAGTAATTCCTGGCTACCATATCCAGTTTTGTCCACCGTCCCTATCCAGGCGCCACTTTCTCCAGTTCTGTCTAAATTCTAAAGTCACACAAAGGCTATAGATGCATAATTCATGCACCAACCTTCCAGCCAAGGATATAGATTTGTTTGTTTTAGTCCAGCTGCAAATCCATTCAGCCTTTCAGAACCAACCCTGGGGAGGGGATACAGAAGTCTCAGACATTTGGAGAAAAACTGAAACCTCAACTGGATTATTAACACCAAATTCATATTGTTTGAGCATCTTAACTGCATCAGTTTAGTTTATGGCTCCTGCTGAAAACTCAGAGGCTTCACAGAACGATCAATATGAACTTGATCTATTCCATGATTTTCRAGTTACTATAAATGTCAGGGAAAATAAACTCTAAAACATCCCCTTTCTTGTCACTGAAAATAAAAATAAACACCTTAATGTTTTGATATATGACTGCAAAAGCTGAAAACAAAAGGTTTATAAAGACTCCAGCTATAAGTCTCAAACCTTTCAAGAAAGGCGGAGCAAGATGAAAGAAAAAGAGAAACAAACACTGAAATTTCTTGTAATTTAGTTGTGAGAAATAGACTATTATTACCTCTGTTGCATGCACTACTGTTTAAGAAACCAAACACTCCCAAGGAATAAAGTATTTAATTTTCTAAAAAATCCTAATTAGAATTTGATGGTAGATATTAGATGGGCTCATTATGGTGCTACACCAAAGCAAATGCAATAGATGTTTTCAGTTATCTTCTAAGAAATATAACATATTCTGAGAGAGGTAAAATTAATGTTTATGACCTCTAAGGGTTTTCAAGTCTTTCTGGTAGAGAATTCTAACAATTATTTTTTGTATTATCATCCTTTAAAAAAGAATTGTCTATCTAAAAGAATTATTTCTTCCCAAGCTGGGTATAGTGGCACACACCTATAATCTCAGCTACCCCGGTATCTGAGGTAGGAGGATCATAAGTTCAAGGCCAGACTGGGCAGCTTAATGAGAACTTTTCTCAAAATAAAATAGAAAGGACTGGGGATTTAGGTCAGTGACAGAGCACTTGCCTAGCATGTGTGAGGCTCTGAGTTCAATCACTAGTACTGCAAAAAGAAAATAAAAAAGAAAAAGAATTATTCCTTTTCTAAGTAGTTTTCTTGCTTGTTATTAAAAAAAAAAGTAAGATGAGAAGAGTTAAAATGGAGAGTTTTAAGGTAAGAATGTTCAATAATAAAACAAGCTACTRCCAGTGTGGTGGTGCACACCTATAATCCCAGTGATTCGGGAGGCTGAGGCAGGATGATGGCAAGTTCAAAGCCAGCTACAGCAATTTAGTGAGGTTTTAAGCAACTTAGTGAGACCTTGTCTCAAAAATAGAAAATAAAAAGGTATGAGGATGTAGCTCAGTGGTAAAGCACCCCTGAGTTCAACCAGCACTGCCCCCCCCAAAAAAAACTATTGTACTAAGAGATCATAAAATTTCTTTCTCCCCAAAATCTTTACCAAGCATTTCTCTTGAGACCTAGGGCAGGAAACTAAGCAGAATCTCTTTAAAATTCCTTCCAGCTTTAGAATTCTATGAAATCAAGAAACTTCTACTTATATGAAAAATAAAGTACCTTTTACAAAGAAATTTCATAATTATAGTGCTCACACATGATGAATTTTACTGAGCAGTCATTATTTCAAATATTTTATCACTGCTCCCATAAACCATCAAAATATGCCAGAAATTTCAATATTTTGGCATCCGAATTACATTTCGCAGACTGCTTCTTGCCCTTGGAAGTGACACAAAAATCCTCTTTCATACCATGTGGTCCAATTTAGGTTTGGAAAATAGGTCACTAAAATTATAATGATAATGTCTAATACTTTATAGCACTTTGCAGTGTTTCCACATCCTTTCATTCTCCTGCCCCTCTCAATAACCCTATGTGTTAARTATGTAGTTTTCACAATAAACTTTCAGTGAACTTATGTGACATCATCATTTTATGACAGAAAATTAGAGCATCAAGAAGGTAAAAGACAGGCATGGCTGATCACCCAGGAAAGTAAAAACTAAAACACATATCATTTGATACTTACAGCAGGCCTCTTTCTCTTACAAATTCTTTTTTTTTTTTTTCTTACAAATTCTATATAGTCTAATGTGTGGCAATTGCAAAGAAGCTCCCCCAACCCCGGGCCAATCACAGAGTGGCAAAGAAACCATGCCATAGGATGTCAGTATCATATACCAAAAGGGATCAACAAGGGAACATCTGCCTGTGATGAGACYTTGCTTGCTTTCAGATTCAATCATTGGCTTCTACTCTCCTTAATATGGTCATAGAAGGGGTGCTCAAAATTCACAATTAAAACTGAGTCTTCTGGGGCTGGGGTTATGGCTCAGTGGTAGAGCGCTCCGCTCACACGTGCAAGGCCCTGAGTTCGATCCTCAGCACCACATAAAAATAAATAAATAAATAAATAAAGTTATTGTGTACAACTACAAAAAAAATATATATTTAAAAAACTGAGTCTTCTTATTTTATAGTTTTTTGACATCACMTGTAACTCTAAGTGCTTTGTACTACTAATACCTAATTCCCCTACCTTGTYCTCACCCTCTCCAATTTCCCTCTATCACTGTCAGTGCTTCTGAGGAAAAAAACAGAATCCTAACATTTAGTCTGAAAACATACTTTCTTCCTAAAATTAATAATAAATAAGCTGGTATTAAAAAGGTAAATAGAAAGGAAATTTTACARTTTCTTCAATCCTTCTGAGTTCTTTCCATACCAACAAAAATAAATTTTTGCCGGGGGTACAGGCATTCAACCACTGAGCCGCATYCCCAGCCCTATTTTGTATTTTATTTAGAGACAGGGTTTCACCGAGTTGCTTAGCACCTGGCTATTGCTGAGTCTGGCTTYGAACCTGCAATTCTCCTGCCTCAGCTTCCCAAACCGCTGGGATTACAGCATGCGCCACTCTGCCAAGCTTTTCTGTTGGATCTTAATGTGAGGACATTCATTAGACACCCTCCTTATTCAATTAGAAGTACCATATATATGTCAGAGTTCAATCGAAATGACTTTAATTGAACATTTCATCAGGTAAATAATAGTTGACATCAAAGCAC